GTTGAAGATGAAAGGGTCCTGCTGAGGGTATTGTTCCATCCATGAGAAATGAGGTGTCCCGCTGGGTCCGGTGTCGCTAGGTCCGGAAAGAAAGGGATGGAGTTGAAGATTTGTTGCATGAGACTATGCACTGATGGAGCAACGTTGGTTGGCTACAGATGATTAATGCTGCTCTGTAGAATCATTGATTGCCAATGTTGGGTTCCAAATGTCGCTAAACCCAGTTTAGGGTCTCCGTTGTAACCCTTGCTAGATGGGCCGGGTTTTAAATGATGAGGGTGATTGGCTGGTTTCCCAGTTGAAAATTGTTGCACAAGCCCTGGCCGTAGAGTGCTATCTCCAGCCAAGACGCCGGAGTGTGGTCTGGTGGCGGAGGGGTGGAATAGGGGTGTGCATTCGAATCGGTTTATCGATAAATCGAATCGATTATTTGTTATCGATTTATCGATATCGGTTTATCGATTTATCGATTTCGATTTCGATTTCGATTTCGAAATTTTCCTTATCGAGTTATCGATTTCGATTTTGTCCTCTTCGATTTATCGGTTTATCGATAAACCGATAAGAAATACTAAAAATTTTTTTTTTTTTACCCTTATTCTATAATACCCTTCCCTTTACCCTAAGTCCCTAACCCTATTATTTCATCTACCACATTTGAGGAATGATCATACTTAAAGCTCAAGGGAATGAAGTTCAAATTAATGAAAAATAGAATTAGCCGTGATGATGTATTTTTTTTTATACCGTTGGAGTGTTGGCGGCATACATTTGATCCCTTACTTTAGTTTCGTTGCATGTGCTTGTTGACACAATTTTTATGTTATAAACGGTGTTCGTCTTATTTTAGCTTCTTTTGGTCCATATTAGTTAGGCGTGTTTATAGCGATATACTTTCCGTGGAATCCCGCAAATTTTCTTATTGGTGTAATCGATAACTGAATCGATAAGCCCCAAAAATCGATAAATCGAAATCGAAAAAATCGAAACCTTATTGAAACGATAACGATAAGTATATGTACAAATCGATAATCGATAAGTAATTATCGATAAGGGTCAAAATCGAATAGATAAATCGAGTGCACACCCCTAGGGTGGAATTCAGAACAACCGGGGTTTTGGTAGGTTGTTCCATTTTTGGGTTTATTTGGTTTTCCCTTTTTGGGGCTGGTATTAATTAAGGTATTTTGGGGTAATCAAGGGTCATCACTGATATCGAGGTTAAATCATCAACCGTGTTTTATGTTTCGTAACTTATGTCTAATACAAGAGATTTCGAATTAAATGTGAATCCGGTTGAGTTGATGCAAAGTGTCAAATCACCTGAGCGTTGGTGATTAAGTAGATATGGCACTTGAGTATCCATTGAGAGATTTTTTGCAGAATTGTTTGGTAGGAGTGATGTAGCTCTATAGGGGCCATCATTGGTAATGGTGTTCTTCAAGTCGGTATGACCCCATGTGGCGGAAGTGGTAATTGGGTCTTGGTGGGTCGCGTTTTGTTGAACTAACAACCCCTACTTGTTCCCTTTGGGCCTGCTGTTCTGTTTACTCCGGGGCCTATTTGGACAAAACCTTTTAGGTTTGTAGGTCCCTTTTCTTTGCTGAGAGTTGGGTCTTCCCCTATTGGGCCCACTTTACTCTTTGTGCTTGTGTTGGGCTGTTCCCGCATGGGCTGTTATTGGGTGAGCTGGCTCTTTGAGAGGGGAGTATTTTTCCTTGTCCCGTGATTTGTGTTAGTAGGGCATTCAGGAATGACATGTACAGGATTAGTCTTAGAGTTATATCAATTTCAAGAAACTCACCGGAGTTTGCATTGAACATTCTGACTTGGATGCCTCTAGTTGGAGTGGAGTTTTTTTTTCCTTCCCTTCCTGTGGTGTTGTGGTTTGGACTTGTGGTGGGGGTGTCCCTGTTTCCTTCTTCTGGGGAAGACAAGTGTTTTCCATTTCACTCCCCCGTCAGCGTTGACTTTTGAAGAGGAGCATTCAGGCTGGTCTTGAGTTGGGGGAGGGACTTTTGCCTGTGAGTACACATTTTTAGGGTATGTCTTATCCTTCCACAACCGGTGCATAGGATGTTTTCCCCTTAGTATACCACCGCTTGTTTGTGGTCCCCAATAGTGACAGATGTTTCTACTGGTGTTTCCAGTGGTATTTGTATACAAATTCGCGCGTATCTGTCCCTTAACGTAGCTGATGTGCACGTATCAATTTTGAGAAGTTTCCCTAGTTTTCTTTCTACCTTCTCAAGTATCTCTTTGTCGTAAAATTCAGTTGGTAATTATGGCAACCACACCCATATAGCAGTAAAGGACAGAGTAGCCTCTTGTGGGACAAATTTTGGTGTCCACCTTCTGACTGAGGGAAAATTCCCGGATAGGAACCATGGTCCTTGGTGTGTTGCTTTTATCTAATTCTCCTCCTTTCCAAATTTGACTATAAAGAAATCCCAACATAAGTCAATCAAGATTAACTGTTCGGAGGGGTTCCATAGACCAATTAGTTTAGATCGAAGAAGTTGATGTGACATTCTTCTACAAAAGATTTTGATAAGAACCGAGAAACGCCATGGTTCATATAGACGGGGTTTGTCATCTTGAGAGAGGATGATTGGGCCTAGATTTTCCTTTCCCTTTACATCGCTTTCTGTTATGCCAAGTTCATTTGCGTAGTATTTCGTTTGGATTGTATCTTTCTCGTCTAATAGCATTTTCTTGTAGGAATGCGCTGGATTAGCATCTTCCTCCATGGGGTTAATGTCCGATAGTTTATGGGGTATATTGGATATTTTGGTTGTATTCTCCATTATGTGTGTAGTGAGATGTGAAAGTATCTCACTCTAAAAAGTCTCTTCCGATGGACTTGGGTTACATCCACTAATCAGCCTTTCCGTCCTATTTTGTATGACTCCACGATTTTGAATACGAGGTATTAATCTATCTAGTTTTTAGTGTGAATTTGAACATATAATTTTCAATTTTTTCAAAATAAAATTTAAGCTTAAAAACTACATAAAAATATTATAAGTCATAATAATTAATAATTTGATATATTAAAAAGCATATGAAAAAATCACACTAGAAAAGCTTATTAACTCTTCTAATGATAACAATATCACATAGAGTGAGATAGAAAGTGAGGGATAACAATTTTAAAACAAGTATTTCGTTCAAAGAATTACGACCCTTGTCACTTGGCCTAACAACCCAACCGAAAATGGCCCAGATTTGAAGCTCTTACCCTATTTAGCCTATGTTGTACATAACTTGAAAGAAACTTTTCAGCCTTTAGCCCATTATTAAAGACACACTTTTATGATTTTTATTATTTTCTTCTTTCTTCATTCCCAGCACACCACATTCTCTCTCACCGCCTCTCGCTTCTTTCTTTCTAACCCACATAGATCTCTCATCCTCTCTTAACCTAGGCCCCGCTATTCCCTATCCCCTACCCCCTACGCAGTTCTGCCATCAATGACTCGAAGAAGGCTCGGGCTCCTACTCCGTCGTCCATGGTGGCAAGCAGAAGAATATTGAAGATTTTTGAAAGGAAAATAAAAATACACACAGATCTGAAAATAAATAGCTCTCAAACTTGATTTGCACCAAAAAATAACCACTAACTTTGGAAGATTTTGAAGTTTGAAGTTCTGGTCATTATTATTACGACCTTGAAGTCTCGTATCTGAAATTGGGTGTATCTTATCTGTGTGTTGAATTCCGAATTGTTGGCGCAAAATTGTTAACCTATTGACGAGTTGAATCATCCAATATCTTCTACTACAACTCGAGGCTTGGATAAAAAATCATAACTATGTAGCAGTTTGTATCAACACTGTATAATAGTGTATATGGATATACAAACACCTCTTATACACTATTAAACATGTTCATACAAGTTAATACATTATTTACAGTAAGCGTAGTGTTGGACAATCTATGATTTCTAGTGGAAATATTGTATAAGTGGTGTTTATATACACTTATAAAGTATTGTGTAATTGTGTATAAATATGTATATTTGTGTATAATGTTGTATAATATATTTTTTTTCAGTTTATAAGGATGTATATACATTGTCAGTGTGTAAGAGGCCTCTATTGAAGTTTGACACTTCCTTCTCTTCTTCTTTTTCGTGTATGTGCTGTATGAAAAAGATTTTGCACGCGTTGGAGGGATTCTACAATTCATTTACCAAGTTTTTTTTTTATCCTATTGGATTGCTTCAGCAATTGCACATAAAAGTGTTTGAATTTCTTACCTTCAGATAATATGTATTATTCAGGATTTTTGAGTTGCGTTGTAGCTGATTTGCATTTTTTTTTTATCAAATGCTTAATAATCAAAGAAAATCAAGAGAATGAAAACAACTGATTGTATAAAGAGGGAGCAATAACCGTAGTTGATTGTGTAAAATAAGCTGTCTTTTGGGAATTAGCCTATTATTTTTGGGCTATAGATTTGCAAAGTGGTATCTAGGCTATTATGTTGCAAGTCAGGCGTGTGAGTTGTATTTATGTGAAATTATCCCTATTTCGTTCATCCCATTTTATATGACTCCACGATTCTGAATACGAGGTATTAATCTATCTAGTTTTTAGTATGAATTTGAACATATAATTTTCAATTTTTTTAAAACAAAATTTACGATTTAAAATCTACATAAATGTATTATACGTCCTAACAATTAACAATTCCATATATCAAAAAACATATAAAAATATCACACAAAAAAAAGCTCATTAACTCTTCGAACATTTATGTACATTTATTTCCATAGTGCCATAGAATTTTCTGTAGGAAAAAAAAAAAAAGGAAAGAGGTTCTACCGAGAATTGAACTCGGGTTACTGGATTCAGAGTCCAATGTCCTAACCGCTAGACCATAGAACCATTTTGTTATTAGAGTTTTCCAAGATTTTTATTTATAAATGTGAAACTTAACTATGCCAAAATTTAAGTTAAAGGGGTGAAACAGAAGTTTTGCATCAATTCAAGAGCCAAAAGTGCCAAAAACCTGAACGCACATTTGAACTGAACCTCCTCGAAAATTGTTAAAAGCTGCATCTTCAACTTCAACCCAGTGAACTAAAAACCCCAGATGAGAAAAACCCTGAAAAAACCCCTTTGTTCCATTTCTGCAACTTCCAAATCCAACAACAATGGCACAAACCAATATTTCTCCTTCAAACTACCAATCAATCAATCAAATACATCTAAGTTCCAAACAGGCCCATGTTATTCAGACCCATTTTCTTCATATTTTCCATTTTCCCAATTACCCAAATCAAAAAGATCCAATCTTTACTTAAATTTCACTTCAAACCCCAAAAGGCTATTTTCTACTCTTAACATCCCACCTCCAGAATGGGTAAATCCATTCATTGATCTTTCTGATTTAGTTACAGACCCTAAAGATCTCAAAATATCACCATGGGTCCCACAAATTTTGAATCTTTTAGACAATTCACACTCAATGGAGCAGAATTTAGATGCTTATTGTTGCAAATTTTTGATCAAATTATCTCCTAGTTTTGTTGCATATGTGTTGAAGTCAGGTGACCTTGCTGGTAAGCCTGATATCGCGTTTCGTTTCTTTTATTGGGCTGGTAAGCAAAAAGGGTATGCTCATAATGTTGAATGCTATGTGTTTTCAATTCAGATTTTATCTGCTTCGCGCGAATTGGATAGAATTAAGCACGTGTTTAGTGAATTTAAGCATAAAGGTAGTGGTTTGTTGATGAATGTCGGGGCGGTTAATTCTTTGATTAGGAGTTTCGGAGAACTTGGGATGGTTGAAGAATTGTTATTTGTGTGGCGTCGAATGAAAGAAAATGGTATTGAGCCTAGTTTGTATACCTATAACTTTTTGATGAATGGATTGGTTAATTCCATGTTTATTGAATCGGCTGAACGCGTTTTTGAGGTTATGGAAAGCGGGAAAGTTAATCCGGATATTGTTACGTATAATACTATGATTAAAGGGTATTGTAGATCAGGGAAGCTTCAAAAGGCAATGGAGAAATTTAGAGATATGGAGGTTAGGAAAGTGGAAGCTGACAAGATTACGTACATGACTCTGATGCAAGCATGTTATTCGGAGGAGGATTTTGATTCTTGTTTGGGACTTTATCACGAAATGGAGGAAAAGGACTTGGGTATTCCACCACACGCTTATACGTTAGTGATTGGAGGGTTTTGTAAAACTGGGAAGGTTTTGGAAGGGTTAACTGTTTTCGAGAATATGATCAAGAAGGGTTTTAAACCTAACCTGTCGATTTATACTGCTTTGATTGATTCATACATGAAACTTGGAAACTTGGATGAGGCGATGAGACTTTTCGACAGACTGAAGAATGAAGGATTTGAACCAGATGAGGTAACATTTGGGGTTATTGTAAATGGTTTATGCAAGAGTGGGAGGTTGGACGAGGCAATGCAGTGGCTCGAGTACTGTCAAAATAACAATGTAGCTATCAATGCCATGTTTTATTCAAGTCTTATTGATGGTCTAGGAAAGGCAGGGAGAGTTGACGAGGCCAGAAAACTCTTTGAGGAGATGGCCGAGAAGGGATGTACGCGTGACTCTTATTGTTATAATGCGCTTATTGATGCCTTGGCCAAAAATGGGAAAATCGATGAAGCTTTGGTGCTTTTTAAGAGAATGGAAGAGGAAGGTTGTGATCAAACAGTTTATACATATACAATATTGATCAGTGGCTTGTTTAAAGAGCATCAAAATGAAGACGCATTGAAATTGTGGCATATGATGATTGATAAGGGTATAACTCCAAATGCCGCTTCTTTTCGAGCCCTTTCAACTGGGCTTTGTCTTTCTGGAAAGGTGGCAAGAGCGTGTAAGATATTGGATGAGCTTGCACCAATGGGTGTTATCCTTGAGACAGCTTTTGAAGATATGATTAATGTTCTGTGCAAGGCAGGTCGTATAAAACAGGCTTGCAAATTAGCTGATGGGATTGTGGATAGAGGTCGAGAAATTCCTGGAAAAGTTCGTACCGTCTTGATTAATGCCTTGAGAAAGACAGGGAATGCTGATATGGCAGTGAAGCTGATGCATAGTAAGATTGGCATTGGATACGACAGGCAGGGTAGTATTAAAAGGAGAGTGAAGTTCCGAGTGCTGGTGGAAAGCTGAGGCTAAAGCTGGATAGCGGGGTTACTATTGGGACATTCAAGAATGTTATTGTGCTACTATCATGGTTGGTTACAAAATTAGAAAGTGACTTTATAGAATTTATATAGAAAGTTAATATACATGCATTGCCACTTTTCCTTCAACCTTCCATTTATTCTTTTCGTCGGTCTTTTGGATTAGTCATGAAATTTACACTTTGTTAGATTATGTCTTAACTAATTAAAAGAGCTGCAGTTTTATAATCCTTAAAGCTATAAGTTATACTCTTTAAAACTATGTTTTTTTTAGTTACTCTTTTGCCAAAAAAAGTATATACTCTGCTCAACTACCAAAATAACCGATACCTTCTTCTCTCATCTTTGGTCTGTCTCTTTTTTGGAAGAAGAGTTTCTACCCTGCCTGCCTATGAAGTACTTCAAGTCAATTATATACTCTGCTCTTTTTTACCCAATCGAAATGTGACAAAGTGGAAAAGGAGTGTTTGTATCTGCTAATTTATCCATACTGATCTAGTGTGTTTTCCTTCTTGGACCCTTTAGATGCATTTTGCTTTCTGAGATTCCTTATAACACTAGCATAGTATTTAAACCAATTAATAGTCTTACAATAAAACTTTCTTTAGATGAGTAATCTCAAAATAGAACTTAGCTCCAATATTAAAACAAAGTTTGTTTTCTGAGGTTCTCTTAACTAGTTTTGACACATGCAGGGAGCGTGTTGGTAACGCAATGATGGTTGTTACGTTCCTGTTTGGTCAATGTAAGGCAAAATCAATGATGTGATCAAATAAGCAATGAAAATGCCATTTGACAAAGCAATGCATATCTGCCACTTTATGGAGTTCTAACAAGCAAATAAAGAGGTAAAGTTAATTGATTTTTTTTTTCAGTAAGAGAATCTGACAAATCATCTTGCTTGCGTTAGCTCTATCTTCTTTTTGTTGAAACTGGAAGTACGATATAGGGTGGTGTGATAGTGACACTCAACTCACAAACTCTGAAGTCCGACCTTTTCCCCGATTCTGATGAAGTCTGAGATATACTTAAAGATGCTGACCCCTTCTGTTGCTTTAAAAACCTTTATTGTAGAAGATTATTCGGAAGTGTCAACTTATTTTTAAGATAACTCCGAGACACCTAAAATTGTTGGATGGGATTATCACTCATATTAGTTACTATCCGTCATTGATTCTTCTCATATGCTTTGTGCTTACACTTATGCTTTTGATTGTTGATTCAACAGTTCTTGCAATCAACTAAAATATGGCACCCTTAGGCAACTTATCTTATATTATCGTAAAAGAGGTAATATCGGGGATTTGCAGCCATACCCTATATTTGTACCACCTTTTAACCTGTACCCTATTTTTACAAATTATTGAACTGGTAGCCAGTTGCTAAAAAATAAGTAATAATATGACAATAATACCCCTGACCAACGATATAAAACCTGCATAAGGCATTGATCGCGTGATCTGCTACCTCACTCGTCAAAAATCTCCTCCATCCTTCGTCAAAGTTCTCAAGTTTTTCATCGCAACAGCTTCATCAGAAAACCAGAAACTTGAACTAGATTCATCAGAAACTACGGATTCGAAATTACAGCTACATTGTGAGTACCTTTCCTACACATGTTTCTGCAATTCTTTGAGCTTTCATTAAGTACTTTAGATTTCCCATTAGTTTCTGCAACTAATTGAGTTTCATGATACATGTTTCTGCAATTATTTTCATAATTCGTACTGCTTTTTAACTGTTGAACTTCAGAAATGAAATCTGATTTCAATTCACGCCTATAGAAAAATTTAATAATTTTATGCTACTTACACTAATTTACAAATCATATTTAATTGTCTTCACTTAGAGATCTTCAAAAACTTTTGAAAACTTCACATTTAATATATTAAAATTGTCGGAATCTTGAAAGAAGTGTTTCCAGAAAACTTAAGCCTAAAAAGTCGGAAGTTTTAAAGATATAGAAAGCGAACTTCAGGTATATATAAAGATAACTTCAGACTGTGGAAATTTAAAAAATAACTGGTAGTGTTTTCCAGAAAACTTCAACCTAAAAAGTCTGACGCTTCAAACCTACATAAGCTAAACTTCATGCTTATATAGCGTGAAGTTGTTTCAGGCTAATATAGATTCATAAGAAACTTCAGTCTAAATGAGTAATCTTTTCTGCTTTCCAATCTTGTCCACTTACCCTTTATTTAAGAATCACATAAGGAGATATACTAGCCATGCGATTCCTTTTCCCTACTTTAGCTGCGTTTCCTTTTGCTTGCTGCTCCTGTTTCCTAGTCTCAACTAACTGTCATGGTTACATGAGCTGCAAAATCCACAGCCATTGGAATAGATCCTTCTCCAACTCCCTGCTGTTTATAATCTTCTTGTCTCACTTCACCACCAACAACATCAAAATTGCCTTCTGAAATAGTATCTTGTATACTACTAAGTGAAAATGAAGATGGATTGAAGTTGGGGATATCATTGTTGTCAAGCAAAACTTTAGGAGAACTGGATAGCTTCCTTCTTTTAGGATTTGGTAGAAGTTGCAGTCCATGAGATGAGATATGAAAAATAAGGAAAATATATACATAAATACCGTGGCGGAAGCCAAATGTATATAGTGTGAATGAGTCACAACTACTATACCAAAATTATAGTAGCCACTAAATAATAAATAAGACAACAATAAAAAGAACACCAGAATTTACGAGGTTCGGCCAATTTTTGCCTACTTCCTCAGACACAACCAATATTTTATTCCACTCCAAAAATATAAGTGAAATAATACTAAAGAAAGATACAAATGCCTTAAGAAGATGAGAAGGCAACTGAGAGGTGTGTCTTAAATCCTACACATTAGGCCTTCTTTTATAGGGAGAAATTCCCAACCAAATTGCCAAATTCCCGATGTGGGACTTTGATATCTTCAACAAATGACTCTAGCCCTTGTTGAAAAAGGACATCTAGAACCTCGCCTTGCCACATCCCAAAATGTCTTGACCCGTCAAAAATTTCTACCAATTGTTGAAGATGTCAAAGTCCCACATCGGAAATTTGGCAATTTGGTTGGGAATTTTTCCCTATAAAAGGAGGCCTAATGTTTAGGATTTAAAACACACCTCTCATTTGCTTTCTTATCTTCTTAAGGCATTTGTATCTTCTCTCTTTAGTATTATTTCACTTGTATTTTCGAGTGGAATAAAATATTGGTTGTGTCTGAGGAAGTAGGCAAAAATTGGCCGAACCTCGTAAATTTTGATGTTCCTTTTATTGTTGTCTTATTGTCTTATTTATTATTTAATGGCTGTTATAATTTTAGTATAGCAATTGTGACTTATTCACACTATATACATTTGGCTTCCGCAACAATACAACTATTACAAACACACATTCGTCAAAAACACCTTGTGATCGCATTGCAGGAACAACTACCTGGTCTACGTGTTGTGATGCAAATGGCATTTGCATACCAATAGATCTGCTTGCATTCCCTTCAGATATCACTGTATCTTCATTCAAAAAAAAGGAAAAAATATTAAATAATACTGACTAAATTTTGAAAATACTATAAAGCAACTTCACACATGTCTATGAGCCAACATGTGTAAAAAGATGTATTTCTCCTTTTTCATATAGCCGAATGAGCTCACGAATTTCTTTTTCGGCTGCATGAGTCTTTATGAATAATCATGAAAAAAATGCAAAAAAGAAAAGAAGTATGTAAAATTTCAAACTGAAAATAAAAATTTGGATCAAATGTAATAAGTTCGTGATGTGTAGAATACCTTGATGTTGGCCTTCCTCTGTGCTATCACCTGAATGCATACCTTTCTCTATCTCAACAGTTTCAACTTCATTCATTGTTGCAGCATCGCTGGGGAGCTTTGGAGTATTTTGTAGAAAGATTTTTTCGACTCCAGCTTCATGTAGTGCATCATCATTGAGGAGTTTTGACTCTTATTAATTGAAACGCCACTATTTTCGACTTCCATTGCATGTTGATAGAGAAGAAATCAATGACTCAAAACTTACAGGTAATTATATATAATAAGATAGAACACATTTATACCTGTAGTGACAACTTACTGTGTGTCTCCACCTAAAATTTCTTGACAAACAACAAATGCTTCCACAAATAAATTGCTCGTTGCAGTACGAGTACATACATATGCATTCGATGCATGTTCTTCCGTACCAATAGCTTCACCATCTGCATCTTTCTCGACTCCAACATTCTCAGTTAATAACTTTTCATCACATCCAGCATCTTTGCTCAATTTATCAACACTAAAACCTTCCCCTTGAACTTGCTCTTCACCTTGCACTTGCTCACTTCTAGTATTTTCATCTGGGACTTTATGCAGTCCATCATCAGCAACATTTGCATCAGACTAAGGCTTGAAGAACTCATTTATTCTATCATATTCTCGATAGTTCATAAATTCAGAATCTTCTTCAGCAACATATTTCCTTTCGACTTGTCAACAATCTCAAACAACTTTTCCAGCTTTGAATCCAAATATTCCTATAGAAGAATACTAACGATGAGTATTCTGAATAAACAATATCATTTCCTGGAAAAAAACTTCTCTATAAATAAGCCTACCTTGACTTTTCTTACACCATCTTCCACAGCAACATATCGTTCTTTCTCTCTAAACTCTAAGAACAACATCTCTCGCGATCAAGCACCTTTCTTCGTGGGCATGCTTTTTAACCTCCCTCATTACCCTCTATATAAAAATAGAAACAATACAACAATTTCAGAATAAATAGGCCTGTAGTTAAGTAAATACAGTACAAAACTTCAAACAAAACATGTTGTAGTTAGGCAAAACAGTAAGAAAAACTTCACACTAAACAGACTTGTAGGTTAATAAACACGGTACACAACTTCAGTTCTAACAATGATACAGAACAAAAATTTCTGGTTATGAAAGTTAAAGAAGCCTGTCGTTCAAACAATGCTGAACAAAGAACTTCAGACTAAAAACAAAAATAAAAAACTTACATCACATATTGTGTTAACTAAGTCATCATCAAACCCCGTTGAAGAACGTTTCGAACGACTGTGGGTACGAGGTGATTCTCCAACTAAAGGAGTTGAATTTATTTCCTTTGACTGACTCCGACTACGTGGTGATTCTCCAATTAAAGGCACTGGATTCATTCCCTTTGAACAACTACAGCTGCATGGTAATTGTCCAATTAAAGGCATTGAATTCATTTCCTCTTCGGTAGGGATTATCTCTTATACACTAAATCTCCGATATTTTTGTTTAATAGATGAAAAGTATATTAGGAAAAATAAATAAAACTAATACATCAGCATATTAACAAAATTACAGAAAAATAAAGAATATTAACTTACTGCATGATTACTGAAGTAAAACTTATTAAGTTCTCTATATTTAGGCTCCCTAAAGATTGAATAACCTAACATCCTGGGATCTGAGGAACATGACTGTATTGCTCCTCTTTTAAATATCTATCTCGAATATTGTCTCCTTTTGTCTTTTTGTTTTCTTGAGTCGAGAGTCTTTCGGAAACAACCTCTCAACTCCTTCGGGGTAGGGGTAAGGTCTGCGTACACACTACCCTCCCCAGACCCCATTAATGGGATTTTACTGGGTTGTTGTTGTTGTTGTATCCCGAATATTTGGGAAGTGCTCATCGAACTAAATCACACAGTGGATATGGAAATCTCCCTACACTATACTCAGATGTATTACTTTTGTTCTTGTTGCCAAAACATGTTTGATTGAAGTTATCAACTTCTCATAAAACACATTGCCCAAAGGATATTAGCACAAGCTTGTTCGTCTTCTACATAGCTGCATACTCCTCCGACACAACAACTTCATGTTTTCTTCCAAAATAGACTCATCATTTAGAATTTCCATAAGCGTCACTGCATCTTCATCACTCTTATATATATGTTTGAAATTCACATCATCCTCTTTATATTCATTCTTTAACATGTAATCTCGAATGTCCTTCAACGTTACGCCCTTAGATTTCCCAAGATAGCGTTTCAGAGTCTTACAATCTTGTTTAATTAGTTTTTCAACAATATGTGATGTGATCCTCAAACCACTCATAATGTGAAAGTTTTCAAGGCTGAACGACACTTCACAACCTGATGCAAGATCAAGAATGCTAAAAATCCAAGAAATTCAAGAAGCGAAGAATCCATTCAAGATTAGGATTTCGTTTCCTTACAGATTATGATTTGTTATTTTTTATTTCCTAGTAATTTAATTCTTGTTTAAATAGGATTATATTTGTAGTTTTGGTCAAATAGGATTATATTTGCTGTACACTCAAGGTTTTGCACCTCTCAAGTACAAAGAAGAGAGAAAAACAAAAGCACTCCGCTAAAGTTTTTCACAAAACTAGCGAAAGCGTTCTTCAAACTCACGTTAGAAGAATGTAAGATGGAAAGAAACCTCACCCACACGTTCCCCAATCCCGCAAGATTGCAAGAAGTGTTAGAATAAAGGAAGAAGAATAAAATAAAAGATCAATCACGTTTTTGAAGCAAAAACTTAGAAAAACTAATCACCAATCTTTATTTTCAGCATATTGAGCCCTTTAAATAGTCCTTACAATGAGTAAAATCGATAAGGTTAAGGAAAACTAATCCTAATTAAACTAGAATAAGAATAAGGCTAAGAAAACCTATCCTAACTAAAATTGGAAAAATAATTCTAGTAAGAATGGGATACCAACTAACAATTCTAGTTTGACCAGAACTACAAATATAATCCTACTTAAACAAGAATTAAATTACTAGGAAATAAAAAATAACAAATCATAATCTGTAAGGAAACGAAATCCTAATCTTGAATGGATTCTTCGCTTCTTGAATTTCTTGGATTTTTAGCATTCTTGATCTTGCATCACAACCAAAATTCTTGAAACTAATTGAATCTCGGTCATTGGTGTATACGCGAGAAATGATCAAACAATGAACCAACTTCATATTACAATTGTAATTCTCTATAGCCATGATATACCAAAATATACCGTTACTCAGCTTCTCTCTTATGCAGGAGTCGAAAAAGTTGTACTTAAACCCTTCTAATCATGGTTCCCTTTTCAGTAAGCACGGGCATTAAACCAATCACCAAACTCACAATCTCTCCCCTGACCTTGTAGGCACTGCAATGGGCGTTGAAGGCACTTTACGTACTCTAGGAGCTTTAGTACCTAATGTACCTAACTCCTAAAGTACCTAGTGTACATGAAGCTCCTAGAGTACGTAAAGCTCCTTCCACGCCCATTGCAGTACCTATAAAACCAGAACCAGAGGAGATATATTATGAGTTTGGAGATTGGGTTAATGCCTCTGCTTACGGGAAGGGGAATCATGATTTGAAAGGTTTAATTACAACTTTCTTGTCTCCTGCACAACTGGAGAATGCACAACGCGAGAAGCTGAGTAATGTTACATTTCAGTATATCATGCCTGTGGAGAATTACAATTGAATATGAAGTTGGTTCACTGTTTGATCCTTTTTCGCGTATACACCAATTAGTTTCAAGATTTTTGGCCGTGGATGTCATTCCGCCTTGAAAATTTTCACATTATGAGTGGTTTGAGGATCACAACACATAATGTTAAAACCAATTAAACGAGATTGTAAGATTCTGAAGCGCTATCATGGGGAAGTCTAAGGGTCTAATTTCGAAGGATATTCGAGATTACATGTTAAAGAATGAATATGATGATGTGAATTTCAAAATGTACGTGAAAGTGATAAAGATGTGGAAATTCTAATTGTTGAGTCTATTTTGTTTGGAAGAAAATATGAAGCAACTGTGTCTTGGGAGTATGCAGCTATTGTTAAAGGCGAATATGCTAGTTTTAATTATCCTTGGGGCAGTGCGTCTTATGATAAACTGATAACTTCATTGAAACATGTTTTGGACGACAAGAATAAAAGTAATACATCTGAGTGTAGTGTAGGGGGATTTCAGTATCCACTGTATGTTTGGTTCTACGAGCGCTTTCCAAATATTCGGGACATATATTTAAAAAAGGACTAATATAGTCATGTCCCTCAAACCCCCGGGATGTTAGGTTATCCAATCTTGGGGGAGCCTAAATATAATTTTTTTTATGAGTTTTGCAACAGTAATTGTGCAGTAAGTTAATATTCATTTTTTTTTCTATAGTTTTGTTAATATGTTGATGTATCAGTTTTATTTTTCCTAATATACTTTTCATCTAGGGTATTAGAGATAATCTCTACCGAAGAGGAAATGAATTCAATGCTTTTAATTGGACAATTACCATGCAGTCATTCAAAGGGAATGAATCCAGTGCCTTTAAATAGAGAATGACCACGTAGTCGGAATTGGTCAAAGGAAATGAATTCAACTCCTTTAATTGGAGAATCACCTCGTACCCACAGTCATTTGAAACGTTCTTTAACGGGGTTTGATGATGAATTAGTTAACACAATATTGATGTAAATTTTTTATTTTTGTTTTAGTTTGAAGTTCTTTGTTCAGCATTGTTTGAACTACAAGTTTCTTAAACTTTCATAACCTGAAGTTTTTGTTTATGTATTTGCTAAACTTCAGTATTGTTAGAGCTGAAGTTGTGTACTGTTTTTGCTAAACTACAAGCCTGTTTAGTCTGAAGTTTTTCATGTTGTTTTGCTTAACTACAACATATCTTGTACTTTATTACTTAACTACAGGCCTATTTAGTCTGAAATTGTTGTATTGTTTTTATTTTTATACAATAGGGTAATGAGGGAGGTTAAAAAGCATGCACACGAAGAAAGACGCTTGATCGCGAGATATGTTGTTCAAGAGTTTGTAGAGAAAGATTAATTTGTTGTTGTGGAAGATGTTGTAAGAAAAGTCAAGGTAGGTTAAAGTGTGTATGCATTAGTTAATTACTTCAGATCGAACATGGTTGAAGTTAATAAATGTACTTACAAGCTTTTTGCAAGCTAAGTCTATCTTCTTATTCATAGTCTCAGGCTTTGTAAGGCAGATTCACTTGTTCTTCACTGCTCATCAGTTCACTTTTAGTTTCATTCTTCTTTTTTTGTTTAAGTAACAGTAGTGTCCAGGCCAGCTTGTGGCGCATCTCGATTATTGCACATTGTACCTTTTACCTCCAACCATCACAAGTCTTGCTAACTCGGTCCACCAAAGCTTAAGCTGATGGAATGAAATTGATTCTGCTTTCAACCCTAGCTAGGCCACACCCTTGGTTTAGTATTCATTATTTTAATAAACAGCCCATTCGATAATATTTAGGCATTGATTCAGTTGTTTTTATGCTTCTTTACAACATCATATGTATAATTGGTTGCAATTTGGCACTCCTGTTATTATGATATCAAATATACAATTAGTTGGACTTTGACACTAATGTTTTAGTTGCTATATTTTGTCTTCCTTTGCCAAACCATGCTTTTGTGAATTGAAATCTTTCTTATATGTTAGAATCTACATGTCCCAACACCAATCAGCATGCTGGCTTTATGGCAATACTCACTTGTTCTCAATGCACTCAGTACTAAATGCAGGAACACAAGAAGAATTAAGTCATATGGAGATAGGTAAGTGGGTTGAGCCGGGGGTCTATCAGAAACAACTTCTCTACCTTCACAAGGTAGGGGTAAGATCTGCGTACACTTTACCCTCCCCAGACCCCAATATGTGAGATTACACTGGGTTTTTTGTTGTTGTTATTTTAGATAGGTAAGTGGGAATGGAAAAAAAAAATGCCTACACGAGTCCTTTTCTCATTGTTGTATGTTTAAGTTGGAGTACATGGGATGAGTATCAAAGAGACATTGTGCTCTGTCATCTTTGTGTTTGGAAAAGCTCAACGGAGCTGCTTTTCGATTAAACTTGTAAGCAACTGTAGTCACTGTAATGGAACCAATCCGCATGTTCTAATGTGAATATGATTGAAAATTTATCTCCACATTGAGTAGCACTTCGATTAAGAATATTTGTTGCAACTAGATCTCAACCTGTCCTAAACCTGTATTGCTACCATCATATTCATTCAGCCACAACATGCGGATTCTTTGTTGACGGGATATGCCAAAGTGGTTCAGATATAGCAACAGAACAGTGGAACTGAAAAGAAGAACGCGTCCATGCTGTCCATGAGTTTGAGTACATGAGATGAGTATCAAGGAGAAATTCGCGTTTGGAGCTACTCACCATAAGGAGCTGCCTTTCAATTAAACACGTGAGTAACTGTAGTCTCTATCATGGGACCAATTTGCATGTTGTACTATATATGATGTTTGTTGGCACATGCCTGTATTGCTTATCCATTCATATTCATCTAGCCAAAATATGCGGAATTTCTTTTTTGACGCGTATGTCAAAGACAATATTTGGTAATTTGCGACATGGTTGATTGATTGATTCCTTTGACCCCAAATACAATGTTGATGGTACTAATCATAAGAGTTCTGGTGTGCATCTATCTTTTAGCTTAACTTTAAGAAATTTTATATGTTTAATGGCCTTAAAAGTCCTTGTTGTCAAGAAAAATCTGTTCATGTCAAGTGTCTGTAAAAGTTTGTGTTATATCGGAACATGGAGCAGCCACTGATCGTGATTTGTATTTATTTGTTATGCAGATACATTTCTTTATCAAGGAAGATGCTATCTTTTATTGGCTTTGTGAATTTAACTTTGTATTAGGATCACAAAATGAAAGATATGGTATCTGAATTTTCGAAAGTGGAGGAAGCCAAACCATGTCTTGAAAGGACATATATCTTTTTTAGATTCTGCTGGGGCATTGAAATCTTGCTGCATGATAATTTAGAAGTCTTACCTCCAAATATAATGTAATCTCTTCGTTCCAATTTATGTGAACCTGTTTGATTGGGCGCACAGTTTAAGAAAAAATGAAGACTCGTATACGGTTAAAATCAGGGAGCCCGATTTCGAGGTCTTAAATTGAGTTATGAGCCCGAGTCCGTGCAACTCGAAATGGAGGTCGGACCCGGCTGAGGGACACGTGCCTCGAGGAAGCTGATCGAGGGCCTGGCACGACTTGCATCGAGGGCAGTGCAATCTCGAAGCCAATCAAGAAAGAGCGGGAATTTCTCAAGGACACGTGGACCAGGGGCATAAATTAAAGGATAAGATTTGTACGAAATGGTACAGGCCCGTACTAGGTTGTTATACACTTGTACAAATAGAATTCTTTACTACAATTAGGAATGTACTATATTGGGGTTTTTTCCTCCTATATAAAGGGGACCCCAATTATTTTTGTAAGGATCATTTGATATTATTGACTGCAATAGAACATTCTGCTCTGCATTTCTTGTTTAACGTAATAATTATTCTTCAGCTTTATTATCTTTGCTTTATTGTTCATACTTTATTGTTCTTAGCTGACCTCGAGGTCCCTGGGATAGCTGAGCTCGAGGCCCCTATTGCTCCAGCAACACTGATTTGGTTTATCTTTTTCTTCTTACTTAAGCTTAATATTACTTGTATAATCACTAGTATTAGAATATATCACGTATCTTTAAAACCACAAATTATCTTTAATTGTTGTTCACATTTTTCGAGGTAAACAAGACTTTTGAAATTTGTGGTCATAAACAAGTTAAAAAGGGGTCTAGAGCATTTGTGTGGTTATAAAATCTTCTCATTAAGGGTAGAATTGTAAGTTTAAGCTAAATTATTTTCAAATTTAGAAAGGGGTCATTCTTTTTGGAACGGACCAAAAAGGAAATAGGTTCACATAAAGTGGAACGGAGGGAGTTCAATATATGGGGAGGTTTTTTTCCATTTTTTAGATCGACACTATTACCTGATGTTTTCTTTGCTTTCTTCTTTATTTTTTGTGGCTGTTGCTGCTATCTCGATTTTCATAGTTTTTTGTCATAACTGTTGTACTTTTGCTTTATTGAACCGAGTGTCTTCTGGAAACAGCCTCTCTACCTTCACAAGGTAGGGGTAAGGTCCGCGTATATACTAACCTTCCCAGACCCCACTTGTGGAAACACACCGGGTATGTTGTTGCTGTTGTTGTAATATATGAGGAGATTCCTTCCTTTAGTATACTTTTTGGTATCTCTTATCTCTTTGGTTCTTTGTGATAGGGGACAGTGTTTAGTTGATTACTCTGCCTTAAAATGTGCATTTGTTCTGGATTGTGGACCTCCTGAAATTGATTTTTCGGCCACTTGCAAAACTTTATGGAACAATTTATTAGCTACTTGAAGATCTTTGTGGAGTTGTTTCTTCTTCTCCCTCTTTGCGCCTACTGGCTCAGGGCGAGAGGGTGTGTGTGACAAAAATATGGTGGGTCGCATATTGGGGAATTTACTGGAAAATGACATTTATTCTTTTATGCGATCCAACTATAGATTACGGGTTCGAGCCGTGGAACAAGCCACGAATGATTGTATTAGGGTAAGCTGTTTACATCACATCCTTCAAGGTGCGGCCCTTCCCTGGACCCTGTGTGAACGCGGTAGTGCACACCTGGGCTGCCCTATAACAGAGGGGAGTGCGGCATGGGCGTGATAAAGCATGCTAGTAAATGTTGGACTTTAAGCCATTGGGCTTTAAAGTAGAAGAAGTGTGAATTGGAAATGGAGGGAAATAAAATGGAGGGAAAAATAAAAATTTGAAGAAGTGAACTTTTGTCTTGCACTTTGTCTCTCATTGGTAAGGGACAATCTCATTTGTGTGCTTATATATAGAATCACTTCTTAAAGCTCTTAAAAGGAGTTGAAGAGAATGAACCCTCGCGCCGTCGTCGTCGCTCGCTCGACTCGGCTTCGGCTTCGGCTTTGGATAAAGCATGCTAGTAAATGTTGGACTTTAAGCCATTGGGCTTTAAAGTAGAAGAAGTGTGAATTGGAAATGGAGGGAAATAAAATGGAGGGAAAAATAAAAATTTGAAGAAGTGAACTTTTGTCTTGCACTTTGTCCCTCATTGGTAAGGGACAATCTCATTTGTGTGCTTATATATAGAATCACTTCTTAAAGCTCTTAAAAGGAGTTGAAGAGAATGAACCCTCGCGCCGTCGTCGTCGCTCGCTCGGCTCGGCTTCGGCTTTGGCTTTGGCTTTGGCAATAACTAATTAAATGCCAAATGACTGCTGAAAATACGCCAGAACCCTGCTGAAGATTAAGAGGGACTCTCTGGCCGCGGTTCTGCCGTAACCGCGGTAGAACCGCGGCAGGCAGATTCAGAGAGCCTCTTTGAACGCGGTTCTGCCGTAACCGCGGTAGAACCGCGGCAGGCAGCGAATTCTTCTGAAAAGGCACCTTTTCCAGACACCTCTTTTGATAATTGCCTATAAATTCTGAGGCAAGGCTCCATTTTCTACACACGAAAAACACTCTAGAACTTCTTTCTTTTTGAATATACTGCATCCTAATTCGCAGTCTCTCTCTCTCCGATTCGTAAGTGTGATTTTGCTCCATTCTTTGAGTTCGTTGGGATCCTGCAGTTTGTATTGCCACTGTTGCAGGAAGGTTTATTCCGTTTTATCCTGGGAGGATTTAATCCATTACCTTGGCAACTTGTAAAGGGGTTAAAATTCCTTAAGGACACACAAGAAACTTGTGGACTCGGAATATTTATGATTCTCTACTATTTTCCAGATTTCTTTAATTCCTCTAACAGTTTTTTTCTTCTGATTTATTGTTTTAACACAGTAACGCTTACAGGCTTAAGGAATTTTATAATACTAACGTTTCTGTGTTGAAACATATATTAAACTGTTATTCATATTTTGTATACTGTTTTGGAGACTAAAGCCTTCGTGCTTTCTACTCCAATAATTGTTCTGTCCGGTTTANCTGCTTCCCCCTTGCACAAGCCTCAGAAAACTTTATCTTTCTTGAACTTAATGTTAGACAGCCCTATCACCAAGTCCTTGAAGACTAGTTTGTTGAGTTGACTTAGACTTGCATGTCCAAGTCTCTTGTGCAAACGGAGGGGATCATTGTCCAACACACTTAAGCAAATGAGTTCATTATCTCACAGTGTGGACATATCCACTATATACATGATATTCACTCTTTTTTCATGCAAAACTATTTTGTTAGTGGTAAGACATATGACAAATATTTTGTAGAGGTAAAATCTACCATGTTACCTCTATCACACAATTGTGATAAACTTATTATGTTGTATTTCAGTCCATCTATCAAGTAGACATTCTCAATAGAGTGATAGTCAGACTTACCTACCTTTCCAAACCCCATGATCTCACCTTTCATTCCATTTCCAAAGGAGACTTTACCTCCTTTAAGGTCCTCAAGTGAAAGGAACTTGTTCTTGCTTCCTGTCATGTGCTTTGAGCAACCACTATTCATATACCATATTTGGCTGCTTCCCTTCACTTGGACCTACAAAAGAAAATCAGGGGCTACAAAAGAAAACCAAGGGTTAGTCTTAGGAACCCAAATTAGTTTGGGTCCCTTTCTATAGGCAAAAGGATAAATCAAATTCTTTTTAGCCCAACATGGCAGCTTATTTTTTCCTAGAATAAATTTTTTGCTCTTTTAACTTTCCTGTTCTTTTGCAGCGCATTCACTCTTATACTGACCAGTATTACCACAGTGTGTGCAAATTTTATTCTCAGAGAGTGTAAGGTACTTGCTTTCGGGATCCCACTTAGGTTGTAGAGTTTCCAAAGCCAAGTCCCCTTCTTTTGCTACTATGGTGTTCTTGTAGCCATGAAAGTGCATCAGAGTACCTGTTCCATTTACATGTTCTATCTAACTCATGCTTAACCTTACTCAAGTCCTCCTTCAGGGTTCTTACCAGTTCATCATTTTTATAAAGATCATCTTTTACCTTTCCTAGATCCTTTTCTAGTAAGAGTTGTGTGTCACTAGCTATTTCTTAACTTGTTCATAAATTCAATTTTAGATTTTCAGATCTAAGTTCTAAGACAGTTGTATCAAGTGCATGAACCTGGTTCTTCAAAGCAATATTTTCCTTTTCAGTTTTATAAATGTTTATTTTCATGTTTTTGCATTCTGCTTTTAAAAAGTTACACTCTTTTGACAGTTGTTCTTTTTTAGAACTTATATTCTTAGATTCATCAAGTAAAGTTACCAACAATTCTGATAGTCTATCTTTAGAAAGGAGTTTAATTTTATCTTTAAGGTCCAGAAAACTTATCGCAGATTCTTCATCAGGTTCATCTTCAGATTCTCGAATTACTATAAGAGCTCGTTCAGCATTATCCACTCCTCATCTAATCTATCTTTCCAAGTAGCAATGTTGTAGTTCTTCTTGTCATGAACCTGTTCCTTCTTTCTATTCCTTCTTTCAGATTTCTCCTTTTTCCACTCGGCTTCCCACATATGACAGTTCTTGATCATGTGGTTCTTTTTACCACATTTGAAGCATCCATCAGTCATCTGCAAGTGATCTCTTCTCCTCTCCTTCCACAAAGAATATTAGTGATCATTGAATAGTGGTGACCTAGTGGTGGATTGCTCTTTACAGTTTCCAGGTAGTGTACTCATTTTGATCTTTCTCATTTTGATCTTTTTCTAAGATGTTAGCCTCTTCAAGAATAACCTGCTTTGATACCAATTGATGTTTTATCTTCAATGCCACACAAGGGGGGAGGGGGAATGATTTTTGTGGTGACCAATTTTCACGTGCACAGATTATAGAAGGACCTGGTTCTTCTATATGTTCTTTATACTACTGTTGCGGAAATAATAAATACGGAAAGTAAAGGACACAAGTATTTTTACGTGGAAAACACCTGGCTCAAAAGGTGAAAA